CCCGCCTTGCTGGCTGGGGAATTCTGGGAGTTGAAGTCCACCTGTCTTAAAGTTGCCAAGGTTGAGGAACCCTGCTTTACAACACTTAATCCCTCTTCCCATGCTGCATTCCCAAGCAGACATTGCCTGATTGCTGAACATTTTCCAACCATGAACATTTCTGTAATCTCTCCCTTGCTTACGAAGCAGCGTTCTCAGGCCTGAGCATCAGGAATTCTTGCCTCACAGACCTTATGCTCTGCCTGTCAGAATATGCAATGTGGAGTTATGTGATGGCTCCTGGTGGGTTACAGTCATAACTGCCTGATCCAAAGAATGGGGGGTTGGCCTTGGAGTAAGGACTTTGTGCCCACCCCTGGGCTAAGCCATAAACCACTGTTTACAGACCCAAGTAACCAGTTTTGCAGAGTAAACTCTATTGGAGACTTCAGCAAATCCCCGAGGAGCTCCAGTTAAACCTTCTTGGTCCCCTTGGATCAGTGGTCTCATATAAGGCAGCTATGGCTGCTTGAGGCATATGCAGATTTTATTCAGGTGCAGGATACGAATGCAGCCATGCCAGCTAAGAGGGGCCGATCCGCTGCAATTGCAAAAGTCTTCCGAGCAGTGGCAAGATCTGCTTTTGTGGACTTGTTTATCCACCTTGTTGGGTTATTGGGCTTTGCTCTGACTTGCCAAAGCTGGGTGAGATTGAATTTCTCTGGTCTGATGCTCAAAGGGAGATGCGGGGAACTAAAGTTTCCTTTGTTTTGCAAGCTTGAACAGCCCTTTATGTAGCTTTTTGCTCACGCTGCTCTGCTGGGGAGAGAATGAGAGAGATGACTACATTCTTTGTCAAGTAACATTCCGTTCATTAGCTATGCAAAATATATCAGCAGGAGCATTTTCATACATTTGCTGAGCCTTTTTTTAAAAGCATTTCTTTTGCCTCTAACAGCTGTGGGCGGGGAGAATAGTCATCTGGAATCTCGCTAATTGTAATAATTTCCTCCACAAACTTTGAATGTTTAAGCAAGCATTGCCCCTGCATCTGGAAAACTTGAGGACTAGAAAACTGCGTTCTTTTAAAATGAAAGTTGACTTTCTCTCAGTGTTGTGTTCAAAGGAAATTTCTAGGCTTGTTACTGTCATTTGTCTGCAAAGTTGGACAGAGGTTTTTAAAAATGGGGACCTCGGTTGGAAAAATGGTACCTTCAAGACTGCCCATTTACTCAGATAAATATTATTGAGATTCTGTTAAGAAAAGCTTAAAATCTGAGCTTTTCTGATGCTGTTGTTTAGGCAGAAAACTGACTGGATTTGTACCTCCGGAGGAGCTATGTATGTGAGCAAATCATGAATTGCTATGAAGTAGCTTTGAAAATGTGTTGGAAACTGTCGAATTAGATGCTTTTTGATAAATCAAAGAGGGAATGTGTGTGTTGGGGAAAAATGGGTATTTGTTTTATACGTGAACAATGTGACGATTGATTTATTTGGTGGCTTGTTTTCCCCTACGATGACAGTAATTGGGAGAAAAATACCACATTTCTGCCCCTGGACGCAGTCTCTCAGTGAAAGTTCCTGTGTCTCAGAAAGTGTGAAAAGGTTAATGGTGCCTCAAACATATTCCCTTCTTCCCAGTTCTGGACTGGGGACTGCAGTGTTTCTTCACCCACTTTTTAAGATTTTGCACCACCAACCGCTGATTGCTGGCAGCTTTCCTGGGTTGAATTGAGATGGAAGCAAAAAGGGTGTGTTTGGAGGAGAAAGAAAAGGAATTACAATTGCCCTCTGGCATTTGGGAAGTATTTCTAAATGCTCCCTGTTAACCTGGGATGTTTAGTTACCAAGTGGCTGCTTGCACTCATTCCTTGGTTTCTCCTACGGTCGCCAATTAATGCTTTCTTAATAGGGCTGGCAATCATGGCTGTAAGCCTCTTAATTTAAATCAGTGTTTCTCAACCGTGGCAACTTCATGATGTGTGGACTTCAACTCCCAGAATTCTTGAAGTCCACACATCTTAAAGTTGCCACGGTTGAGAAACACTGATTTAAAGTGAGGATAGAGTTGAAAAGAGTTACCAGAGAAGTCCCTAAGCCCAACTTGGCTTCTGTAGCTCAGATTCTGCCAATTACTAGATCCTCTCTTAAGGACTGCAGTAGGCTCCTTGGTAAATCCTTCTCCCAAGAGCTGAATTTGATAGACTTTGGTTTGGAAAAAGCTGCGGTGGAAAACTATGTTTCTGTCTTGCTCTTTTTGGCAGGGAGCAGAAATGGCGAGAAGATGTTCACATTCTTGAGAACGGCTCAAAAGTGTCCTCTTTTCAACCAACCTCTTATTTCTTTGAGCGAGAAATGTCAGTGGGTGACCCAGAAGTGGATCAGATCCGGACTGTGAACATACCTGCGTTGGTAAGTCTTGAGATTTGCAGCTGGCTGTTAAAGCAAGGCAAAAAGGAGTTGGTGTGGTCCATTGGCTTGACTTTGGTTCTGGACTAAGTGGGGACCCTTCTTCGTGAGGATTTTACGGTGGTTCATAAACTTCTGGACCTACCTCTGGTTTGTTTGGAGAGATTTGCTCATGGATTTCTAGTTCTGCTCTGGTGTATTTGAAATTGGAATAAAACTGGTTTTTAATCGATGCTTTGCAGAGTTAGGTGGTTTTCTAAGCAGTGAGAGCTCTTGTCATGCCCTCACTTCCCACCTCCTGAATTCAGGGCCATCACTTTTCTCTCTTTCCTGCTTTAGAAATTCAGCATCTTTGTTGGTGGCTGGCTCCCTTCCCTTCCCTTCCCT